CCTTATAAAGTTCTTAAAGAGCATATATGCATACTTTCATATCAACATCATTTTCCTACATATTGATTCAATGGATCTCCAACCTGCAGGTTGCTCTTTAAGAACTTTATAAGGTTGACATAAGTGTTTGTTAGCTTGTGTTGGACCTAGGCCAGTAAATTTAGTCTTAAAGTAAGCTGTTCAAGTCAATATATCACACTCTGGAGTGCCTGGAACGATCATGTTAAACTTGGCTAACTGCACCATTCCAAATTCACCACCACCACCCATTTAAGTTCAGTAGAAGAGCATTTGTATTGTTTTGTGTTGGTATTGTGACTGCTCTTTTGACTGTTGTTTTTTTTCATAGTTAAAAAAAGTGTTACTATAAAAACAATGAAATATATTGTTGTAGGTGAGGTTAAAAGCAGAGATTAAAATTTGTTAAAGAGCTTTGTCTCACTAACTAATTACAATGTAATATGTGGTCTTAAGCACTAAGAAACAATCAACCACAGAGACCAGTCATCCTTATCTCTGTGCTTTCAGGAAATATTCACCCCTACACATCAGTGACATCACTCTTAGGTGACATCATCATCACCACACACACACACACACACACCAGTTCACTGAAAGACTCATGAGGATGTCTCTTCCCCTCAAAAAACATGAATGAGAGAAGAAAAGCATGGGATGGGTAGAGATGGAAGTGTCTTTCCCTTCTGTGGAATTTTATTTTGATTAAGTTGAATTTTTTGGTGCTGAGAAGATACAACGATGCAATGCACGATACATGTGGTAAAAGAATAGTTAGCCTATTAAGCTTACTGTATGTGAACTTCACATACTTCACATATTAACAACCAATCTAATAGCAAGTGTACTTTGCCGTCTTGAAAGCTACATATCAAATTTGGGTTTGAGACGGTTGCTTCTTTTGAGAAGGACTTATTTTTAAACCAAGGGAACTTGAGTTATAAGTACCACTGTTCTGTGAAATATCCAAATGTGTCTAAACTGCATATTTGGAATTCAAGACCAGAGGCCCTTATACTACTGGAGCTGTGCATGTGTTAGTGACAGCTGTTGTTGAGGCCGCAGAGCAAAGAAGGAATGAGGTTACTGAGTTGATCATGTGCAGGAAACCGTAAAGGTGTCAAAGAATGATGAAAGCGATGCATTTGCAACATTTAAAGGCACAAGTCCTCTTCTTCAATGCATAGTTCTTGCAGCTCTTATTTATAAAATAACTCAATTTGTGAAATTCAAATCCATCTTTTTATTCCTTTTGAAGCAGTTTCCGTGTGTTAATTGACAAGCAATTATTTGAAAACATGCTGCACATGCCACAAGTGCTTCGTGCAGAAACACAGCATTACCTCTCGTCTTGTGCAGGGTCCAAATACACCATGACATGTCCAGAATGTCCATTCTCAGTGTACTGTTGTCAGTTAAACACTGGAACTGCTAAATGTTGCGACTGCCTTGCTCATAGTCTCATGCTGAAGCTAACGCTACACCTCACAGTTAAACTATGGTATGTCCTGACCTGCCACTCCAGTGACATAGAGCTACAGTAATGTCATGAGGTAAGCCAGTGACACATTTAGTACGTCTAAAATCAATGCTGCTTTGGCAAGCACCCAAGCTTGGCCAGCTTGGTTTCAGTTCAAACAGGGACCACATTACTAATTTACAGTAAGACTGATTCATTTACAAGCTGGGACTGACAACTGTCCAGTCAACATTCACAAATCTGTCTTTCACGAGGAACCATTGGGCTGATTGAGCTCCGAGAACTTTGCAGGGCATGAGACGTGCTAGAGAGGATGAGCTTAGATAAAGCTGGAACGAGCGCAAAAAATGTTAATGAGTAATATCTGGCAACTCGTTCTCTTTGTCTGGTGTCAGTGGTGATATCACTGAGTGCGCAGAGGCCACATCAGCTGGAGAGGGTGGGAGGCTGGCGGAGAGAGGAAGGGTGAGGCTGCACAGAGCCCCTGGACACTGACAGAAAGGATCTTTGACAGCAGCTTTAGCCACACCTGCATTGAGTCTCTTGCTGAGAGCGAGATACTTTCATGGTATAGGTTTTCGGTCGACTGAGGTCATGTGCGCCTTGAAAAATGGACAGCGGCTCTCAGGAGCCATGTCATGTGTCTCCTACGAAAAGGCAGATGACTTCATGTGGATGAAATGGAATTCATTTTTGGCTTCATTACCATCCATAAATATTCGTGATGAAAGACGTCATCCTGCTGCAGCTCGCGAAGGCCTCAGAAGCTTCACAATGTTAAGCAGTGGTGGGGGTGCAGATTGTGTATTGTGTTCGGTGGGTGTCCATTAGGTATGGCGCCTACTGTACACCCACAGCCCCAGGTGGCCGTGGGAGAAGTTGAGGGAAAAGGCTGCATGTGTCTATTTCTATGTGAGATTCCCAAACATGAACAGACAATTAAGATGGATAACTTTTCTTTCTTTTACATTCTCAATATCTCAATGTCATCCCCTGTTGTCTGGCGAAGCTGTGGGCTTCACCTCCCACAAAAGCCCTCACACTAAATGGTCTTATTCATACAGCAGTATATGATGTAATTCATTGAGACATGTTTCATTCATGACTCTCTCTTTTCTGTATGCGTGGTCACAATGCCAAATCTGTATTGCCAATAACAGCACCAAGAGTAGTCCCTTGTCTTTTCATTGGCGAGTAATTAATGCAATATGTTGAAATCCATAATATTTGAAAGTATAAAAAGATGTGCTGAAGTAAGTACATTCTTCAGGAAAGAGTTGTTTCATTCATTCAGTGCACAACAGTTCTAACTGTAGCTCAACTGAATTTCTATCAGTCAAGGCTCCTTATTAGCTTCATAAACTGATGACAGCTAAGCAGCATCACCTATATGTTTCCTATACAGCTGGTAAGCTTTGCCAGAAGCACATGGCTGTCTTTGGCTGTTTCCCACACAAGGGCAGGGAGAACAAGAACGCCTTAGGACAAACCCAGGAGAAGCTGACTTACCTGCTGTTGTGTTGTCCCCAGGTTTGAGCAATTAGTAGTCACACCAAAGGGTAATCCTAGAGAAAAGGCTCTAAAGCAGCAGAGTATCCACTAATATCCTCTGGCTCTCGTGTTCCACTTGTGGTGTCCTCTTGTGCTGGCTACAGAGTTGGGCCAACAGCCATCCCAAGCTCTGCTCTCTCTCTCTCTCTCTCTCTTTTAGTTCTTGCTTTCAGTTCTTCAGGTCAGAGAGGGAATGGTAGAGAGCAATAACAGAGCACTGTAACTTCCCTCTCCCTCTCTCTCACCCTCCCTCCCTCTTTTACTCCCACTGCCTATCCAGATCTACTCTGCATATCGGTCTAAAACACACCTCTCATTTTCTTTCCCTCCTTCCTCTCCAGAAGTCAGTTAAAGAGTGTGTGAGAATAAAAGACAGAAGGGGGGATAAGGGAGGTAGGCAGGCACTATTCTCCTCCGTCCCAGTGGTTGAAAGGCCTCGTTGCACAGTGAAAGGCAGGGGTGCGGTGATGTCCTTTTGTCAACGGGCCAGATCTTTTCACTCAGCAACATCCTCCATTTTCTCTCTCTTCTCTTTTTTTTTACTTGAGTCACCGAGGCTAAAAGTATTTTTCTATATTTAACTCGTCCGCTCTTGCCAACATGGGTGCTATTAGCAGCTGAGGCTAGCTGAATGCTAAATGTTTTGGCTGGCCAGTTTGAGAGTTAACTCTCCCCGCTGACCCTTGGTGACAGCTGAACTATGCCATTTTCTCATGCTGGGAAAGTCCGGTGACAACAACCACTCAAGCCCTAACAGTGGTCCAAGGAACCACCAATTGCTGACTTAGGAGGGCTGAGCGAGGCCAAACTCTCCAGGACTTTGGCAGCTTGACTGTCTTTTTGGCCCTGTTTGCAGAAAACAAGGCCAGCGAGCCAAATCTGAGGGACAGTAATTGTGCTTTGCATCAATGGGGATAGTTAACTTTGCTGCCAGGGTACTGTTGGGTTAGACATGTGGAAGCAGTAGAGAGTAAACACATCTAAATTTGGTTCACCTACTTTTTTATTTGTGGGATAGCTTTTAACCACCTTCCAAGGTTAGCAGTTGCAGTTTCCTGAATTCTACATATATGTGGAGATGATTTTAATAGTAGCAGTGAAGTTAGATAACTTGGTCACCATTTATGACTTATGGCAGAGGTAGAGAGTGTATTGACAATGTCACAAATGGTAAATGTAAAACGGCTCTCCACTTCTGCGTCGACATGGGCAAAAGGCCCAATGCAACAGTGAGCTCCACTCTGTGCAGCACTGTGATTGGTTGTTGTTTTAATATCTGGCCACAGTGACAGGGCGGAACAACTACTAAAGCAAAAATGTACTGATCAAATCTTTTTGTTTCTACCTGACCCTGTTATCTGTTACTGGTTAATGTTTATTTTGTTTGTAACTCATGAGAATCACTGACCACGGTTGTATGTGAAGCATGAAGGGTCAAGGGAGTGCCCCATTTCTCTTCTCCTCAAAGTGAAAGACTTGTCTGGTCACCAGAGGGAAACGGGAACGTAATGACACTCTTATCTCTAGGTGGAAACCAAAGCAAACAAAAGACACGGCAGCGAACCAACAGAGAAACTCACAAAGGAATTATGTCAGATGGACACATCCACTCCCTCTTTGTCAGTTCTTTGTTGCAATGCAGATCTGACCCATTGCAGGATCATATGGGTGTGGGGCTGATGTAATGTTTTGTTCAATGAAATGAAAACACACTCCAGCAGACACAAATGCGCAGATGAATAGGCAGAAGAACGTTTTCTCTGGTTGTTACCAACGTTCATTACTTTACTGTCTTTCCTGGATACCTGGATATACAAGGTCACCTGAGAGTTCAACATCTCTGGAGCAGCATCAAAGGCATTTTTCCCCTTTTTGTTGTCCTGCATGTGACACTCGAAGTGAATCAGAGCAAAGAAAAACTTAAAGGAAAAACAAAACACATTTGTTTGACAGACGCTTTCCTCCCCACATATGAAGTCATCCCCCTCCATGTGGTATTGAAGAGGAAGATCTATCCAAACTGAGGTTATGAGAAGTGTATTTTGATGGAATGCCATACTTCCCACACCCAAAATGAAGTCATGTGGTGGGATCAAGTGAGGAAGAGGTTTGTTATGATTTCAATCTGTATATATATATATATATAATGCCCACATAACGGTGGTCCTGTCTGGGCCCATCGGGGCTGCGGTTGTTATGAATCATAGTAGAAACTCGGGCTTGTTGTAGCTGCCGTTCCCACACTTATATGATGTGATCAGAATAAATAGCACTCTGATTTAATTAATGCAAGATGGGTGATAAAACATCTCTGTGAGATTTGAGGTCAGTCATCCAGCTGCAAGGAAGCTCCCAAGTAAAACTTTTGTTGACAGTTTGTTGACGTAGGAAATGAAAACAATTTTATGTTTGGCAAATCAAAACCATGAAGTCATAAGCCCGTCTTGTCATCTGATAACATAATCCACATGACCTTTGCCAAGAACATACACACACACACACACACCTTCATTTTTCACACAGGTCCCCCAACGCTATCTTCTCGTCACATGCTCCCCTGCAGCGAAGTAATGCGGGGGGTCCCATCCAACAGTCATGTCTGTCGTCAAAACACTGAACATTAGCAACTCTCTGTTCACTTCCACTTATTCTGCTCAGACATCGCCTCAGCTCTGCCGGGCCATTTTCAGTTTGGGGCGCACTGACAGATGCTAATGAGCTGTCCATGCAGAGTGAGATTACACTGGGTCTAGACAACAGGGAACATGGTGTTCCTGGCCTGAAGCCAGGAAGGGACTAAAGAGGTTTTTGGTAAAAAGGGAAAAAATGAGGGATGTGTAAACTGGAGTGATAAGACATAGGTAAATATTTCGAGCAGTATTTGTGATTGTGGCCACCTGTAGGCCTAGTGTGCTGTTCAAAGAAACATTTTGGAAAATATGCTTATTTGCTTTCTTCCAGAATTACTGTAGATAGGATGATTCATACTACTCTCATGTCTGTATGGTAAATATGAAGCTAGAACCAGCTACCAGCTTGCTAAGCTTAAGCATTAAGGCTGGCGACAGGGGGAAACAGCTAGCTTGGCAGTTGCAAGGCAATCAGGAAGTCACCGTTCCTGGCCCGCAGAGTGAAAAAATGTCAAATGTTGTTTTGACAGTTTTTTGTGTGGAATACACAAACAAAATACAACTTTTGAATAAATGAGCTTTGTACGTGCCGGTAGGTAGACAGAGCCAGACTAGTGTTTTTCTCCTGTTTCCAGTCTTTATGCTGCCTCCAGCTACATATTTTCTGTACAGACATGAAAGCGCCATCAATCTTTCTGTCTTACGATGCGCATAAAGGAAAATAAGTGCATTTCCCAATTGTTACTCTATTAGTTTAATATTAATGCCACCTGTGGTGGTCCCCTGGGTGCTTCAGGGGACCACCCTCAATTATTTAAGTTAATTATATTTAATTATATTACTTCCCTGAGCCATGACCAGGCACATACAGCATGCAGGAAACATATTTGCATTTTTTTTCTCTCCACACTTGACAACAAGAAACTACAACGTCATATAAACCATGTGTGCCACAGAACACCCGGCGTCTTATACTTAATTTTCCTAAAAAGGCCAACAAATACCACAAAAATACCAACAACGCATGTATCACAGGAAAACAATGATTACCACAAGAATTTTAATGTTGAAGTACCACATCTTCTTTTATGTGGTGCTGCGCCATAGGATGTTTTGTTAAGGTTGACAGACAAGAATGTCTAATCAGGGTTTACATTTTCCACTTCCGAACACAGTAATGGTACCCTGTCCAAAGTGATAAATGTACATTATTTTCTATCTATAAAATGAATCAAAAGGACACTACTGTATAATAGTTTAAGTCAAACTATTCTCAACAAGCACTAAAACATCTTCAGTCAAATTCAAGAGATTACTGTAGCATAATAGTGCTGTCTCACTTGACACTACTCTTCTATTTGATTGGGACAGAAAACATATGGTTTATTTTCCCAGTTTTGTCTTTATTGGAATACAATATGGCCATAGTAAATTCTTAAACCAAGTAATCCAAATGGTTTTTAATGGTATACATCTGGTTTCACTTTTTTTGGCAGCTAATCCTGTTGAACTTGTTACAGCATAAATAACAGATCGAGTAAAATACCAGAACATAATACTCAACTTTGAATTATCATCATAACAGAAGTTATTGTTTAACATAGTGTAGGACATATCATCTCTTGTGGTTTCTGAGTTTATTGATGTTAGTCTGTTCTTCTAAATTGGCTTGAAAATGATATATTTTAAAGTATTTCTGTCTTTCTTTCTCTTCTGATGTTTCAGTTAAAGAGATGACTTGCCATCTCAGAAATGTTAATTACTTATGTTTCATTTCCTGTCTTTGCTGATCACACACTATATAGGTTGTATGGAGGAAGAGACTCTGAAAAGTAAGCCGACTCAGACCACTGGAAGACATGGGTCTTAATTGGTAACGGTTCCTTTGACAATATTACCATAAACATTACCTTGAAATTGTACAACCTGTGTCTTATACACTTAAATGAAGAGATGTCAAGCAAACATTTTGATATCATGCATGATCCAATTTAAAGTAGTCCGTCTGGGGAAGTGGTTGACTATGGTCTTGGATCCTATTGTTCTGGGGTCGTGGCTTTTACTTCAGCTGTAACACAGCTCACTCTTATGCTGCATGATTTCATCTACTGCAATTGCTAATGGAGAAGGAGTGGCAACAGGAGGTCTGGGGACTGTCTGGCAGTCATATTTTTAATCAATGGTGAGATGATCATTGCTGGAATGATAATCAAAGAGGCATTATGTGCTCTGTAACCTTTTGCTTTGGAGGACACGCACCATAGACTGCATGCATAGGCACTGTACATATAATAGACTGTCATTGGGAGGTATGACCACTCAGAGCCCCAGGTGATGAATCATGAGATAATCTATTCATGATTCTCTAGATTACATCAATAGCATAGTCTCATTGCTGTGTTTCCTACAAATTGAGTAAACTGTCAAGAGGGTGACTTTGGAGAAGCTTCTCCAGAGCTGTAGACCCTCTTAAGGGCCTGAAGCTCTCTCCCAAGGTCAGCCACAGCAGGAGACAGACCTGCCACTCATCTGCCAAACCCTGGAGGAGAAGGACATTACCATCTCAAGCTGTGACACCGGTGACCCAGCGTGGGTCGTGAGCAGAGACGGGAGACCACGGGGCCCCGGGGGTTCATTCCAAACAACAGCTGTGCATCTTCTCTACAGTGGACAAGAGGCATGTGGGCTGCTAATCAGTTCAAGCTGAGAGGTTTCAATTAGTTCAAAATTATGGAGATGTCAAAAGCTGAATTTATAGCCTGATAATGACGAGGGGATATATACAAGGCTGGAAGGGCCTTATGCTTAAGTATGACCTTGTTTTTTTCTCCTAATAGATGTCTGCATTATACAATTAAGTAATAGCTGTATTCTTGTTCATTTTGTTCATGGATAGCAGAGTTTACAATGTGGCATTGTATTTCACACGGATGCAGCATTTATAAAGGGAACAACATGAGAGTAACTAATGAGTAAGTAAGTCGCTACGATTTAGGATTTAAGGACGTCAACCAAAACTGCGTTTTGTAGGTTCACTGTAAATAAAGCACATCACCATTGAATTGCCGCCCTCTTTCGGCTCTGACGCATTACTACATCAACAATAGACTGCTTTTCAAGGGCAAAGCAAAACCCCGCCTTCTCAAATTTGATTGGTTTAGATTAGAATTCTCGCGAGCTCATTGGATAGTCGGACGTCAATGGAATGACGTATAGGGAAACGTACGGGAGGATACCCGCACCGGTGAGAAACGTGGACGAAGCTTTCTTAGCTTTCTGTCCTTCTTATATTTTGTCTGTAGTGTGCTCTCAGTCGTATCTCGGTTGTTAAACAACACGACGTGTTCCGCTTGAATTCACAGCCTTCCCCGGGGCTCTGTTGACAGCATTTGAACCCAGAAGCTAACATTAGCTGCAATGCTAACGACTGTGTCTGACTTTGTGCACTGTAAACATACATTTAACGTTAATTGTTCAAGTTTAAGGTTGTTTCACTTCCTCCTGACTGAATATTGTGGGTTACCGTAGCAGCAGATGCCATAGTGGCCTTTTGCCGTAAGCTAGATAAACTAACACGTGTTTTCATAATGTGAAGTGAAGGAACAGTAGTCCAGGTTTTGTGTAAAACTTGAACAGTGTTGCCCCCATTCCGTGGTTAGGCCAGGTTGGGGTCCGGTTAAGCATCTCATAAAACAAGTGATCAGGGTTGGTTCAGACTTAGTTAAGTGGAAACGACAAAGAAAAGGTCTTCCACTAAACACCCGATTGTGTGTCTTCATGTCGGTCATTTAGTGTTCTGTTACACCACCACTCGGTGGTGCACGAGATCTTATTATCAGACACCCTAACATTCAAAGTCAACCTTGTAGCACTGCCTCAGCAGTAGTCAATCCCATGACCTGATGAAGTAGTAATTGATAACAATTTTGCCAGAATGGACTTGTACAGATGGAGACCATGCTGTTTCACATACTATGTCCTTTGCAATGTATTCTTGGTAAAACATTAATACATCTGAATTTAAAGGTTAGTATAAACAGCAAAATACCTTCCCCGAAACACATTGCCTGTTTGCGTTTCAAATGATCGCCCCTGGCCTAACGTACCTTTCACAGCATCTTTCAAATACTACTACTGACAGGTTATTGTTAACATTAGCGCCTCACATGTTGCCCTTTTCAGGAGTTGTATAGCTCTCGGCTTCCGAATGGCTTTGCTGCTGAGGAAGCTGATCACTCATAGTATTTCCTCACCTTCTGTTCGTTTTTGTTTGTCACAGTGTTCACCTGACTGATGGCTGCCCCGGGGAAACTGGCGTTTTTCCGTCTGCCTCCCTTGCCGACTGTAGGCGAGCTCATAAAGCTGTACAACCTGCGAGCTGAGAAACATCTGTCCCAGAACTTTCTGTTGGATTTGAGACTAACAGGTTAGCCCGTCTCACTCCTCCGTTCAATTCAGTTCTTTTATTGGCATGGGGGGGGGGGGGGGGGGGAGAATACATGTTTTACATTGCCAAAGCAATGCTTTCTCTTTCTTTCGCTCTATCTGCAGTGCACCAACACCTGCGTGCTCCTGTTCTTTGTTGCTATGTCTGCACTGAGGGCACAAAGGTGTGTGTGTGTGTGTTGTCTGTGTGCACTTGATTGTACAGCTCCACATCGCCTTGTTTCAAGGCATTGAAACCGACAGGCTTTTCTGTATGGGCGAGGTTGAGCGGATCTCCTTCCGATGCGAATGAACCGAGTCAATTGTTTACAGCCCTTGCAGAGCCTGAGCCTTAATATAATTATCAGTGATGCAGTGCAGGTCTGATCTGCTCTCCTGTCCTTGGACAAGGTGACTGTTAGATTAATGCACCTCGTCTTCATCACACAGACGCAGACAGGTATTGTAACATCACACACTATTAATCTCAATTTAGATACCCAAGACTCTAATGAAGACATTTCATTGGAGAGTATGGTGCTATTTATACATATGGTGTGTGTTTGATATTAGTATTTAATTCAGTGTATGATGAAACTCTCTATTGACTTGGTCATTCATTTTCACCTTTTTAGACAAAATCGTGCGTCAGGCGGGCAGTTTGAGGGATGCCCACGTGTGTGAGGTGGGTCCTGGTCCCGGCGGTCTCACCCGCTCCATACTCAATGCCGGGGTGTCAGATGTGCTTGTGGTGGAGAAGGATACACGCTTCATCCCAGGGCTGAAGGTAAATTGAACAACCACAACAATACAGGCTTTTGCACAATGTTATCACGGTCGTATGGTCACTCGGCAGAAAAGGCTCTAACACCGTCACCTCAGAGTCTCCAGTCAATCGTCTGCAGCATCATTAGCCCCCCTGCAGAGTGACTGATGATTATTTAGTTTTTCTGAACAGCTTTCCATTTCCACAGCTGTTGTCTGAGGCGGCACCAGGGAAGTTGAGGATTGTCCACGGTGACATACTCAACTACAGAATGGACCGAGGATTCCCAGAAAATGTCTCGAAGCCGTGGGAGGAAGGTGAGATCGTGGACTTATGAAAGCTGTTGCGGTGGTCACGTGTAATCCCGTAGAATGTAACTGTGTACGTGTGGCCCCACAGACCCACCAAACCTCCACATCATTGGGAATCTCCCATTCAGCGTCTCAACCCACCTCATCATAAAGTGGCTGGAGAACATAGCCAACAGAACAGGGCCCTTCGTCTACGGACGCACCCGACTCACCCTAACTTTCCAGAAAGAGGTCGCAGAGGTGCGTGAACAGTGTTTCATGTTTCAGTTTTCCCACCCGTACATTTGTCAGGATGCTGTTGTCTTGCTTATTCTAGACACATAAAACAAAACATACTTAGGAAACGCTTTAAAGCATTTTTTTTTCTAGTTTTTGTTCTTTATCTAATATCTTTGCCAGACATGTTTGGTCACCACTTAAAGTAACAATTACATGAACTCGACAATTAACATGGTCTTTTGGAATTTATCATTACTAATTTGTGGTTGTTGTCCTCTCCATCCAGAGGTTGACAGCCAGCACAGGCAGCAAACAGAGGAGCCGCCTGTCCATTATGGCTCAGTATCTCTGCACGGTCCGCAACTGCTTCTCCATCCCTGGACGGGCCTTCGTCCCGAAACCAGAGGTCGGATTAAACTTTGATAACGATTCTTAATACCTCTAAATGTAATTCTGCCACGTCAAAAAACAGCAATACCAGTATTAAGTCAGTGGCTGGCAGATGGACACTTTATTATCTCACAGTTCTTAACCTCTCGTGGGATAAGGGTTCAATCTCCTCGCATCTCCTAAGCTTTGCTCCAAGTCTGGTCCCTCATCATGTCACCATCTCCTCTTGCTTTAAGGCTTCATTAAGACTGTGTTGAATCAGTGTTGTCTCTGTTCTGTCTTTGGACCCTTTCTGGGTTGTAATGATGCCTGGTGGGTATTTGAGATGTGGCACGATCACACTACTCCTTATAATGAGAGTTCTTTTTTAGGACCATTTTCTCTCTCTCTCTCTCTCTCTCTCTCTCTCTGCGTCTTTCAGCCCATGTGCGTGTGTCAGTGGTGAAAGAAAGACGTTCTCTCTTACATAACATGAGAATGCAAAAGTGTTTTTTTTTTTTTCCTTTCTGGGGTAAGGATTTATAGTAGGACTAGGGGGCACATTAAGAAAATATAAGTACTGCTGCATGATGTGAAACATCAGTGTTGGTTAATAGACTGCTCCGCTGAGATCGATTTTGAGATTACAGACACACGACTCTTAGGAGCTCTCTTACGTCTTTGTACAAATGAAACCGTGTTTTTCTGTTCCTGAATTAAAGGACAGGTGTTAGGTTGATGTCAGAGATACCACGGCTCTTTAGGAGACCCGCTATGGGTACATATTTAATCTCCTGTGTGGCGTAAAATGCTGCAGAGTGAATGGGACCAGTGCTGATTGTTCATTCTCTGAGAAGAGATGGCTCCCAATGATTATTTCATCACACTCACAGCTGCCTTTCTGTGCATTTCTTTTACTCTCAACTGTCTGATGTGTATGTCAGCTTAATGGGTTTCAGCATGCTGGTGTGTTTTGGAAATGTGCACATGTGTGTGTTGGTATGCATGTGGTATGTACAAACATGTACAGAGTGGACTCGCAGTGCGTGGGCCTGCATGCACTGCAGATGAATCGGCGCCTCCCACGTGCGCGCACAGACCAGCTATCCCCACTGAATGTTTTAATGGGCACTTGGTCAAATTAATATCATTAGGAGAGATGATGGCTGTTTGATGGGCAGGCCTCCTGCTGCTGGAGTCCCATAAAAGACCAGAAAGCACACTGAGTATATTAATGCTATCCTACTCTCTGCATTATGCAGGGCCCCTTTTTTTAACTATTATGTCATGTAGTATAATTCATAATATGCTCTATGCCTCCGTATTGTTTACTGGTGCACACTGGCGTAATTACACAAAATTGCATGAACAATAAAAATGTCCTGCCTGAGCTATGGGACAACATTAAAGGCTGGTAGGAGGGGGGGGGGGTTTGAGGTTGTGACACACGTCAATATAGACTTCTAAAGCAGTGGTTTGTCTGCAAAGCTGACCTATATATTGTCAGAATGCATACAGAGATATAGGAAATACAGAGGAATATTGTCACAGCATAAATACTCTTCTTGGGTGTTGATGCTGTACACTGCTTATAGTGGTCCGGTGAAAATGCAGACGTTATATAATACTTGTAAAAATGGCTAAATACAGCCCCTTTGTGGTCAGACGTTAATCATAATAGAGGAGTAACACTTCCAAATATAAAAATTCTCTCTCTTTCCTCCCTTGGTTACTGCAACACGTGTGCTTTTTCAGTGTGTGTGTGTGTGTGTGTGTGTGTGTGTGTGTGAGAGTGTGAGAGACTGTGCCTCATGCCTATAGCCAATAAATCGGCTCAGTGATCTAATTGTTTGTATTGTGTTGTTCCCACTGAAGCTTGGGGATCACCGATTGTGTTAATGACGACAAATTGAAGCACAACTGGGCATCGTTTTTGTCTGCATTCGGCATGCCGTGCCTAAACCTGAGGCTCTCTGTCGTGCTGCGAGGGAGCGAGTGAGTGAGTCATGGACATCCTGGAACAGGTCCACCCAGTCACGTATTGATAAGCTATTCCTGCACATTTCTGTGAAAATGCCCCCCCCCCCCACCAATGGCAACTCTCTTTACACTGCAGTAAATAAAATATGCAGCAGCAGGTGCTATACTACACATAGTACATTAGTGGGATGTGAAAAACATTTCAAGCGGTTTAATACAGCGTAATCAAACACACAGCGAGTCACAAAGAGCCACGGACAAAAAAGCAATGAAATTACTGAACCGTTCTGAATAACCGCGATGAGAAAATAGCTTCAGTAAAAGGCGGGGGGGGGGGGAGTTGGTTGATTTGAACCTATAGGAGCTGGCCGGTGCAGGCTAATAGGATAATGAGAAGGGAAATGTTGAATCCATTTTAAATCAGCAGCTGCCGGGGCCTGTATTGGCTGGGGTGGGCGAATAGGCTCTTATCCTTTCAGTTTAATCTCTCCATCTTGTTCTTCTCACCCCCGGTGTGCACCTCTCTTGTGTCACATTGACTGACTGAGATTATCCTTGAAGGTTTCTGAGAGCGGCGATTGGCTGCTTTGATGATGTTCCCCGAAGCTCTCCGTCCCCTTGGTCTGTCCTGCTGCAGATCACACCTGCCTCCCTTTCCTTATTAGTCACTCGCCTCCTGTTAATTCCCACAGACAGACAGACCGAGGCGTCTTTAAATTGCTTCTGTCGTTCACAGCTATACATACTGTATATCTAAAAGGTGTCTTAAAGGAACTAAACTGAGACAAATAATGGGCTTCTCCGCTGTTGCTTTAGTCATTATACGCATTTCTAATTTGTATTCTGGTGAGGGGTCAAGGAGTGTTGGAGTGCACGCTGCCTTCAAGCATCTGCATCCTCTATACGGGCATTCAGTCATCCAATTTCATCTTCACTGCCTCTTTACATAGAAAGTAGCTGATTTGCAAAGAGTAAAGAGTGCGTCTTGACTTGCTCATCACTCTTCCCCTGCCTTTCTGCTTCCGTGGCAGAATGTGATTAAAATCAACTTGTGTCCGTCTCAGGCGGGTCTATAAGTCGTGCGATACAAGCTTCATCACGGGAGACCGGCGGTCTCTTCTGTAGAGCTCCTACAGCGCTCACCACTGTGCTACTCATTAGCAAAAGTGAGGAAGGAAAGGAGGCACTGAGAAGGTGGGCAGTGGGAGACTGAAATATTAAATGATAGAGGTGGAGGGGAAAAAACAGTAAAAGAAAATGAGTTAGAGAAAGAAAATGGAGAGATAACTAGGTGGAGAATGTAGATGGGAATAAAGTATGGATAAAGAGGATATAAAAATAAATCAAGGCAAGTTGTGGATTGAGTCTGTATATGGTCTGGAATGAAACAAAAGCTTGAAAAAGTATGTAAAGACTGCAAAGCTTCCCTCCGTACAAGTACAGAGCGCTAGAAGACAGATTCACGACAGAGATCGATCTGAAAGGAGAGCGCGGCGTACCTCCAGCAGATGGTTGTCTGGGCCTGCTGTCAGCCCGCGCTGAGTAATGGCCGAATCAGCCATCAACCACCAACTAACCCAGCCATCGCAGGAGGAGAGCCCTACAGATGTTCGTCTTGTACACAATCGTTGACCAAGACCACAGGCCAGATGAGCGGAGCCTAAATTGAATTTGTTAATGCTGCATTGAGCATCCGTTGTGGCTGGCAGTTGTGAGGGAGACTTTGGCAGTACAGCGGATACATACAGTACATATTTGCGTTCAGAAATTGATTATTTTAATGTCCTTTTTTATTTATTTTCAATGGCTTAGGTGTCAGCAGCTGTCGTACTTATTTTCAAGTATCCAAATGAGTATATATCCCTTTGTATTCAGGGGTTTCAAGTGTTTGATTGTGACCCACCTCAGTCCAGTGTAATGCAGTGGCAGGCTCAGTGACGGATATCTGAAGTGGCCCAGTAAGAGTTAGAGTCGGCTCAGAGGGGCTCCGCTGCTTTCTCACCTCCCGCCGCGCATTCTACTCACACACCATTCATCTAAGCCTATTCCTACCTCGCAAACGGGGTCAAACGCGCTATCAGGAGGATCGGGCAAAGTTATTTCAATGACTCGTACCGGCACGGTAAAGGCCCCGAAGGCTTGGTCTCAATACATCACAGACCCACAGTAAAGAAAAGCTAAAAAAAAAAATATATATATATCTATATATATATATATTTAAAAATACTCTTCCTCCTCCTGTCTCCTTAAACAAAATGCCGAGGTTGGCAGAGTTGGCTTGTGAACATCTCCAGAGATCTATTGCTCCGCCTAACGAGGAACTGTGCCTGGTTTGCTCAGTCAGCGTTCACAGTTTAGCAAATTCAGCTCTGTTTAGTTAGTAAGCACACCAAGAGAACGTGTGGGTATTATCGAGGAATACTGCTAAAGCCCCTGGATGTATCCCAAGTAAAGAAGGTCAGCTTCAAATAAGTAGTTGTTAAAAGTAGGCCGTAGCTTGTTATTGTGTTTGTGTACTCTCACTGCTTCACTGTAGTCTTATGTAACACAATACAATAATCTCTCCTCTGACTGTTTTCATCAAGACAGATATATAGTTTGTAAAAGCCTCGTGTGTCCTCACACCTTCCCATTATTTAACCTGCCTCACCTTCAGCTCACTGAATGCTCCCAGCCATGTGTGCCGCCCCGTGCTGCTCAAAGCTGAAATATTAAAGGGCTTCCTTTGAACTGTCAGAGTGTATTGTTTTCCTACAAGCGCTCCTTTGTCATTTCCATAGCGTTTACTGCCTTTCTCAGCAGTTAACTGCTCAGCCAAGGTCGTCGCTATCATCCCCCCCCCCAACCTCACACGAGCCCTGTGACCAGAGGAAAGCAACAAAAGGAAGGTCACTCTCCCCCAGTGTTGATGACCACATTATATCTCCTCACGAGCGCTACGGCCGTCCACAACAAAGAGCTACACGTGAGGTACGGTGGCAATACTGGAGCGATTTTGAGTGCTCGCTGTATTTGTGAGCAATGTTGGCGATCGTTGGTTCCCTAACGTGCTCTAATATCCGCCTCGCTCTTTGTGACCGGTGGAGTGCGTTGAGCTCTTGTGTGCAGTCGTCGCTTCATTGTCGCCTTTCTGTCTGAGGTTGATCTTTGGAAAGGTTATTTGCCGGTCAGTAAAGTAATCTGTGGATTTGACGTGGCAGTGAAGTTCAAAAAGGGAAAGCCTGACGCCCGATTAACCCCTACCTCAAATCGACAAGCGCTCACCTCCCTTTCACATTCCAGATCTGCCATCGCGGCAAGTCGGGGTGAAAGCCTTTGATGGGAAATGTAGGTTAAATACACAGAGGAGCAGATCTTATTAGCGTTTCCCCACGATAGGAGCGGTTATTTGATCTGCACTCTTGTTGCATAACCAAGAGGAGTGGGAGAATGAGAGGGAGCCGTGAAAATAAGCCATGTTTGTTTCAGGAAAGCACATTTTCACTCCAATCAGCTGTAATGAGAGCCCAGACTCACCAGGTGAAGTGTATAGGCTACAGTGTATGACAAAGATATTGAAGTATTAAAGTACTCTGATGTGAAACGAGCGCTGCATAAGACTGAAGACGTCTTCATTCAGGAAGTTGTGCAAACTTTTTTTTTTTTTTTTGGCACGGTCGAAGAACACACTTTCAGAACAGGGTGTTTGTCTCAAAATTTAAGATTGTCTTTTTTATATATAATTTCTTTTGTGTCCCGTTTCTTTATGTCATGGATTAAAGCCTAACCGCATGTTCAGGGCCAATACTGATATTGATATTTGAGTTTAATTTCTGAGAATAACAATATTTCAGCCTCAATACATGTTTCATGTAAATACATCACATTTTTAAAACTATTTTGATAGAAATCACTTGAATTTAGTTACTAAAGATTTGGACTGAGACTAAGATGTACTGAGCGGGACATTGTACCGCTGAAAAATAAACATGTCAGTAGGGCTACAAGTATTTACTATTATTATGAATTATTAGTTTCATGACTAATCAACTGGAAAATGTCAGGATATTCAGCTCAAACCCAAAGACATTCAATTTATAATTACATATGAGAAAAGCAACTTATCCTCATAATTAAGTAGTTGGAACCAGTGAATGAAAAAATGACTCAAACTATTAGTTGATAGTCAAAATAGTTGATCTGTTGATCCACTAATCAACTGATTGACGGATCTTTTCAGCTCTACTTGTCAGTTCTCTCTGGCGGAAAAAAACTATTTTATACACGTTTTTTAATTTCTACACAGCAATGTGGTGTTACTAGCTGGGTGTTACTAGCTGGGTGTGGCATTACAGGAATAATTCCTTTTTCCCCATTTCCACAAATTAATCTCATACGGCCGTGCGTTTTAGTTGGACTGCGTTATTCCTGAGCAGCCTGTCTGCTGCGCTCGGCACAGCCATGTTCTGTCCAACAATCTGTAGATTTGGCAGGAGGACGAAAGCTATCTCCATCCTCATCACCCCGCACACATACAAGCTCACAGGACTCGCACGCAGACTACATACAATAACGCATGTTGCTTTCACAAAATAGTTTTATTGGTAAAAAATAGAACTACTTGCACAAGCACATTGAGACCACTGTATCAGAACTTGTGAACTATTAATCATCACAAATATGCTCTGGCAAAGTAAGAAGTGCTAAAGCATCCACAAAAATAAGCTGCAGTTATCAAAATTATAAATCAATGTCTTGGTACAGTATATGCAGGAGAGTTGTAACTCTTTCGACTTTTAGGACCTAGTCACTTTGCACGTTGGCCATTTATAAGCTAATGAAATTGCGTGCTGATGATCCAACTGCACAGCCACAAAAAAAAGAGGAATCTCTCGCTCCTATTTTCTTGCTGATCATCAGATAAACCGTTCCCCTTTCTTACGTGTGTTTGTACTGGTCCAGGGAGCTTGGAATGCTCAGCCGTTTGAAACAAACTGCTGTCAAATAAAGTAACACAAGTAAAAGTGCATTGAGTAGTCTTCTTATAAAGAAGATATGGTTATGAACATGATATTGTATTTTATATTGAAACAACCTGAGGGAATCCTGATCCCTCAGTGAACGAAACAACACCTTGAAAACCTAGATACTTGGGTACAGTTGTCACAGACTTAAAGTGAACCAGAATTCATGAAACAATAAACAACAACAACGAAAGAAAAGCATTTAAAAAAAAACACCAACACTCATGTCTTTTCAATGAAAACTCTCATCCCTGTAAAGTCTTGCTGTGCTTTGGGAAATTAAGAACAAAGAGGATTTAAAATAACCCTCGAAAGCTGCACTGGACTGTACACGCGCATCTAGTTGACTTGAGACTTAGTCTGGCAGAACAAATCACAAATCCATAAAAACATTTGCTGATGTATAATTCACATACAAACAACTCAATAAAAAAATAAAAACAGAAAGAACTCCAGATAGTATTACAAATGTGTCATCATGAAAAGATTTGGCACATTCTCAAAACGCATAACGTGTTGGTATTAGTTGATGACATGGCACATTCTTCTTTGTTTATTGCATTGGTTATGGTGCCTGGGCAGTGAGTTATTGTCAGGAGGCCCGTTCTATGTGGTGGGCAAGATGGGCAAGATGGTTAAGTCGGGGGGCGGGGGGTAGAAACCTGGTCCCGAGAGGGCTGCCAGGCACCGGCAATGGTGCCTGCAGAGAAGGCCCGTGGCGTGCTGGCAGCAGCCTGCAGGTGGCGAGCTGGGCTTAGCCATCTGCTCTCCACCCCCAGGAGGCTGCATGTTTATGAGAGAGAAGGAGAGAATGTGCAGCTCTATACATCACTGCCAGAGGCCTGTCTCAAGCATGAAAACCTCAAGATGTCCCTCAGACACACTACTGTCTGAAGGCGTAACAGCGCTACTGACATATGAGTAGGTGGGAGTTTTGTTTGTGTGTGTGTGTGTGTGTGTGTGTGTTGGGATGCGGGCTTTCAACATGCATTAGCTTTCTCTTGTTGGAGATCACATCCATGTGACATAGATGAGACACAAACAGGACAGAGGGAGCGTGTGGGGGGGGTGGAATGGTGGCACAGTCAAGTGGCTGCAATTTAAGACACTGAGACCTTCTGCAGGTGCAGACTGGGAGCATATGCGCACTGCTGACGCACTTGGAAAACAAGTCACATATGGAGAATGACTCAAACCTTTTTTAGCCGCCTGCCACAACAGCTCTACCCAGTCGACCACGGCTCAAGAAGCGTCTCCTTTTTCCTGCCTCGTCTTTGCCCCATCTGTGCGCTGCACCATTAAACACCCGTTCATCCCTGCGAGACTGGTCGCATTGGTATAAGACACTATCGCAGTGGGCAAGCGAAGAAGAGCGTCTTCTAAAAAAAAACAACCTCTTGACCATGCAACAGGCTAATAAAGGGGATTAGTGAAAGCAGTGTGAGCAACGGCTGTGATTAAAGCTTCTGGATCCATGCCTAGGGGACAAAA